TCCCCCCAGCTTGACTTCTAAGTTCTTGATCTTTGAATGCATTGCTGCTTCATTTTTTAGAATCTCTGGAAACCAACATCCAGGTGACATTTTGCTTTAATGAGTTAGACAACATCAGCGTAAACCAAACATCTCAAAAAGTTACAGCTAAATAAGGCTAATGCATTTATTAATGTCCAATTTAATTACTGAGCATTTTAGAGCCGTTGCTTTTCATTTTCTTTCATTAGCCTTTCTGTGTGGGTTTTCTTCCTGTTGGAAAAATGGAAACAGAACATTTTTAATGACTTCAGAAGTAAATTCATTAACAAGGGGAGCAATATGTTGAGTCGTCATTCTTTTCCTGCCTGCACTCAGTTTGTTAGCGTTCTATAAAGAGATGGAATCATTTAAATAACTTGTTTCAATTTATCTCTCCCAAAAAGGGGATTTTGCACACAAGCACACTGCATGCATTTAGATGTAATCCAAATGGAGGCTTGTTCACCAGCATAAAAGCTTTGACCTAGTGGATAACGGGGACAATTCAGAGCTAATGATGCCAATTTAACTGAGGTTTATCAACACATATTGTTCATAGGTCTCCAATTAAATTAAATACACAACCTTATATTGGTCGCGGCTGCTGTTTATCAGTCTTGGTGGTAAGCAGTTCAACCCATAAAGCAGCAAAATAAGTTTACTGCTACACAGCCACTGCACACACATTAGTTTCATAACCCATTGAAATTTCTTATTTTACACTGAAGCAAGCTGTGTTTTGTTCTGCACGCAGCAGTGAAATGAATTCAGGTGTGGATGTAACTCTTGTGAATTATCACTAAGTTGTTATTCTGGGTAAGCTGATGGGGAAAAAGCAACAGAACTGCTCCCCTGAACTCTAATTTACTGCTCAGTGATTAAAAAAATAGCAGAAAATGATTTAAAAAAGCAGACTTTGACCTGGAATGGATAACTTTATACTGAATGTTAACACTAAACAGTTTCAGCCAGGCCTTATCTGTACTCTAGCTACAATAACAGCGAGAATCTTCCCTATTACCTGAATAAGCACATTATCAAGTTGATAATTAGAGCAACAACAGAGAGCGAGAGAGATAGAATTAGTTTATTAATCCTCGTTCTCTTCTGTTCTCTTGTCATGAGGGGCCATCAGCATGAGACAAACGTGCTTTTTTAGTCAGACAACAAATGTAATCTGCATAACCGTCTTGTGCTGGTGGAGTTTAATCGACGTATTCTCACTTGTTCAAAGCAAACTAGCAATGCTGCGAGTCAATTTCCTTTCAACATTTCAGTGGCTCTCGCTGCCTTTGAAGACAGGCCTCCATAATGAATGGCGTCAATTTTCATCCCAATTAGAGTGTTTATCTCGGCTTAGTTCACCTATAGTGTTGCCTTTGCCTCTTGTGAGGGCGATGAATTTTCATGAAGGACAAACACTGTACTTCAGATAAAAACAGCTTATCTAGTGCTGGGATTTAAAGCTTTAGAGCTGGAATTATTTCCTTCCAATTTGTTTGTGCTGTGTTAACAGCCAGCGTGGCGCCAGGTCGCTGCAGTGTGGCGGGAGGGTGGAAGAAAGTGGGAGGAGTTGGCATCAGGAGAGTAGTGGGAAAGCCGAATAAAGGAGAGAGAACATGGTAATGCGTGTTTGTATAATAAGAGGTCCGCAGAGCTTTCATCTGGAAAATGGAATAAATGGAGCACATCACATCCTATCAGTCCACAGCCGTTATAAGACCTGTCAGATAGGAACTGAAAAGAACATGGCAACTTCACAGGTCAATCAGCACTACTGTCACATGCATAAATATTCTATCATGCGTTCACGGTTTATTTGAATGTGTAGACACAGATACAGTGCTGGTGAGATGTTTTTTGCAGTGCTGTTAACGATGTCAGTGAACAATTTCAGCCTCACAACTCTGACGTAAGACAGAAATCCAACATTGTTAGGTGTAAACTAGGACGGCAGGCTGTTTTTGTGGAATACGGGGTTTGTTATTTTAGCCCTGAAGTGTTTTGTATGCCAAGGAGCTGGTGTGTAGTATCAGGCCTGTGTGATGAAGCCGTTTCCCTTGACATTACCTACTGCTGAAGTTCAGGGAACCCTCCGCTCTGACATGCAACATTTAAATGAAGTCATTAAAATTTAAACCGTCTCCGTTCCAGGGACAATCACTCCTGACATCCGCTTGGCATGCGACAAGTTAATGGAACGTAAACATGGTAGCTGCTAAAGCAATGTGAAACTTGTTTTTTATTGGCTTTTCACAGTAACAGATGAGAAACCTGTTGTTGATGCTTTTTGGCCATTATGTTATCCAAAGAAAAAAATGATAACAATGGCTGAATATTTTTCTTTTTGAACCAATAATAAACAACTCTCTTGACAGGATAATGTTTAAAACACCATGTTCCTGTGTTTGATTGACCCTTCTCTGAAGAAAAAGCAGGATACTTGTTGCTATTTTTCCTGCAATGTGATGAACAGGAAAATGTTCAGAATAGTTTTTCTTTATCTTGTTTGTGTTGGACTGAATTTGTAAGTGTTATGAATTAGAAGTCTCGGGGTATTCTGGTAGCCTTATGGTTAAGACACAAAACATATAACCACAACCGGTCATAATATTAATTTTGACAGAAACCGCAACCTAATTTCAATATTCAAATCCGTATCAAACTACATCAAAACAGTATATAATAACAATTAAAACAGAGAAACCATTTAACTACTTAGCCTACTTAAGTTTATGGTCCTAGAGCAGGCTCAGATAAAAGCCTGTGAGTAGAAATGGTAACTCTAGCATCTTAAAATTAAAGGTAGGAACACACATTACGAGTACATAACAAATATTATTTGGGAGTGACTGTCGGGAAATAAAAACATACAGTGAGTGGTACACTCTAATCGTGTTCCTCTAACAGGAATCAGGACTTTGGACATCACACGTACAAGCACAAGAAATAATTCTATAAAAATAGCTGGCAGAAAATGCAAAGGGTAAACTAGTGCCATGTGCAGTGAGTGAGAGTAGTCGTTTGTGTTCGGTATAGGAACATGCAAGTTTGTGTCCTTATGGGTTTTCTGTGGTTGCAACGAGGCTGGAATCACAGCCTACATACATATTGTCGACTTAGCCAGATGCATAAAAGTCTGTGTATATTTAGATGTAGAAATCTGTGTATGTATGTTCCCTGTTTTTTGTGTACACAGTCTTTTCCGTCAGATTTATAAAACCTCACCTATGTCTGTTCCCACGTGTTTTTCCCCCTCATACATCTCAATCATCCTGAAATTGTGCGCACCTGCACAAGCCTTCTGACCATTCCCACGATTTAATATAAATGGCTTGAAACACACCCTCAATTGCCTGATTTGCATATGAAGCATCAGCATTTAGATACGTTTTGAGGAGAAATGGCGGAAGCATCAAAAAGCAAATGAAGAAGAAGAAGCGCAATTTTACGGAATATGAACTGGAGGTAATGGCGTATCATATTTGACAAAAGAAAATGTCAGATATTTGGATCCCTAAGCTCTGGCATGAACAATAGAATGAAGCAAGGTGGATGGCAGGAGGTAACGGAGGGCAGTGGAATGCCGTTGGCTTCAGGCCTCGGACCCTGAAGGAGATTGAAAAATACTTCTCTAAATACTTGTTTTCCTAAATTGCGCAATAGCAATATCTTCCAGCATCGTTCATTGTATAATTTGGCACACCGATTACACACGGCTACAGCTTTAATGGCTAATTGTTTAAATATGTACAGTAACTCCTAAAGGGTGAGCTTAAGAATCATAAACACCTAAAGCTTTGCCAGCTCTGATTTGAAAAGTTGCTTAAATAACATTTTGTTTATAGATAAGAGATGTAATTGATGAAGAAGTTCTGGTCTAGAGAGCTGCTGAGTCTGATAACAAACTCCTTGTGAGGTCTCTGGCCATTAGTGAGTTTCTCAGAAGGAGGGAGGGCTCTGGGGTGAGAGGGTCAGCCAGATAACTCTCCTCATTTGAAACGGGAGAGAGCCTGAGGACCAGAGAGGCAGCGAGCTAGAGATCACAGGAATAGACTAATTGTTTCTGTCCCAGAGACACGACTGATCGCTCTGTTACAGTTGTTCAATTTCACACGTATGAACTGTGGGGAAACTGCACCGGTTGCAAGTAGAATGAAAGAAAATATAAGCTATATATTGTGAGGAAGCTGGACTTGGGATATGACAAAATCGTAAGATCACGTGAAAATAGATCTTGTGAGGCTGAAAAGGTAGTGGTCTGTAAGACTGTTGGGACCAGACTGAATCTATCTGAACTGGGCTCAGGACATTTTTTTTAATAGACTGGGTCTCCTTTCATTTCTGCCCATAGTGTGCATCAGAGAGAGCTTAATTGGTGTCGGGCTCAGGTGGAAAATTTGCCAACTTTGTCATGCCAGGGCCGGGCTATGGCTAGAGTTTTTTGGCCGTGCAGGGTTCTAATTCAAGCCATGTGCTTTTGCCAGAACCACAGTGGTTTTGACCAACTAGCATCCTTTGAGGAACTTCTGGCAGGTACGGGCAGCGTTTAACACTGGGCGTGTGAGAGAAGTGACTCTGAAGAGACTGTTTGCCCCAAAAACAACAATGGTGGTTGTTAAAGAGATTAGCATAGATGTTGCTACCATCAGTTATACCAGCACTAGCGAGAATTTATTGAAAGAATAGGAAAGATCTGCACTGAATGCCTTTCCTTTAATGGAAAATATGCTTTCGTTCTTCGAAGAGTTTGACTACGTTTTATGGTTTGTCGATCTGATTGGTTGCAGTTCACTCGTGATAAACAGATGGTTCATCCAATCACCTGCTGAGTATTAAAGTTCCTTTCCAAACAGCTTCCAGTGACTTCCCAGACGGTTCTGTGTCACAAACCCATCGGACACAGCCAGGGAAACTACTGTCAAGACAGAGGAAAAAACAAGACTCGTGACAAGGTACATTAAAAGATGAGACATGGCTTCCACCTTAATCTTTATTAGTTGTTTCTGTTATAGTTTAGCAAAGCAAACATCAAAGTATGAAGGCATCATTTCATAGAACTGTAATTCATCTGATCCTAAGTATGGCACCACTGAAAGTAATTAATGAATCATACCAACATTTAAAAATAAACCAAAACCTTTTTTTTTTAAATGAACTGAGGAGAAAACAAGAAACCATTAACAACAGGTATTAGCCATTACATGATGTACTCAAAATTACAAATCATCTGCAAGCAATGCACAACCAAGAATTCATACTTTGACCACCTCCTTAGGTCTGTGATTGTGATTTTGTAGTTTGATATGAAATAAGGCAGATTCCTTCAATACAATTAGAGACAATCTGGTAAGGAGATGAAAGCGAAAGCGAAGAGGACTGTAATTCCTGTTGGTGAAATTCAAAGCAATTTTCTGGCATGCACTGGAAACGGCAAAGAAAAACGGGGGGAAAGAACTAATTGATTTGTTAAAAGACACTCACATCCTCTTTAGTGTGCATGGGCATTGATGATCAGTTTCCAGGTATTACGAGTTGAGCTGCAGTTACAGCAGTGGCGGAGATCAGACACAATCAGCGATGTTTATAGATAAAAGGCTGGGGAGTGACACACCGCCCTACTGACTGTGGTGTAAATCAAGGTATTTGCTGATTTGACTAAACAATGGCACTCGAGCTGCAGAGATGTGTGAGCAGGCATGGCAGGTGTCAGTGTGTTGCACTCCAAAGAGGCCTACAAATGCAGGGTGTTGTCAGGTAAGTCCACAGTTGAATGTCATCATGACTGTGGCGGCGGTATTTGAGTTGTAAGAACAGAAAGGATGGCAGATGTTAAGCATCTTAACAGCCTGGAGTGTCAACATGTAGGAGTTGTGGCTGTTGTCCTCTGACAGCTTCACCACGCTCTCACAGTGGGTATAGATCAAATAAAGAGACTTGAACCTGGTTTATCTCATCGCACCCAGCTGACTAAATGATGTATGACTCTAACACACAGTGAGGTATGGCTCATCTTTTCTGGTTGATATGTTCAAGTCCTATAGTAAGGTTTTGTACATACATACATTTACATACAGTACATACATACTTCAGGGATGAGTAGTTTCTTAACAAAGAGGGAAAAGGCTAAATAAAGTTGGGTATGTGAGCATCTTGTGAGTTACTGGTCGTCCTGGGCCAGTGTCAGAGCCCATACTGACATGGGCCAGTCTGACACCAGTGTGGTTGGCTTCGCACAGTTTGCTGGCTGTCAGATGAGGTTGATTGTCCGTCCCTCAGCTGGTCATTCTTTCTTCTCAACAGTGTCTGGATGGAAAACAAATTCATAGTCTGAATTGTTTGCATGGCCTAATTACTGGTTCTCACATTTGGTACTAAATGCTGTGCCTTTTAATATTACTGTTTACTGCTGGTTCTCATGCTGTATATTTATCTGAATTCAGCAGAGGAGACTGGAGAAATTATAACTGCATGCCATGAGATGAAAGCTGAAGGGAACAAAAACGATAAGTCGATCAGCAGAAACAATTAACCAATCATCAAAATAGTTGTGGATTCATTTTAAGTTTTCAAGCTAAACTGCTAAATATTCTCTAGTTCCAGCTTCTCAATCGTGAGGATTTGCTGCTTTTATTAGTCGTATGTATTGGTATACTGAATATCTTAAAGTTTTGGGCAGTTGGTTGGACATAAGGGCAAATGTTTTGACTCCACCCTCCACCTTGGGATTTTGGAAAGTTTGATGTCCATTTTGTCTGATATTTTACATAAATTGTTTGTTGTAGTCCAAGAAAACAGTTAATGACCTTGCTATTCTCAGAGCATTGGTAAAATGTATTTTATCCTAATGTTGGCTTTAGAGAAAACCAATTAAAATCAAAAGGGATTTGTTCTCATTGAGGACATGAATATGGTCATGATACTTCATAGCAATCTGTAAATAGACCAGGAAATATGCAATGTTGTCCTTTTCTGCCTGCATTGGTGCTAGTGCAGAAGTGGAAATATTTGTGTGATGCTGGCAACAGCAACAACATTCAGGGGGGTCACTAACAGTATCAGCATTCATCCTTCTGAAGACAATGAATATCTACTGCAGATTTCATGAAACTCTAGCGATTGGTTTTCAGGATACTTTGTTATTGACAGTTATTGATAGGGGTACCAAAGGTCAGGGGGGTCACCCGAGATCATTAGGAGACATTCTCTGGGGACCAGGGATATCTCTGATAAATTTCATGCCTATTAGTCTATTGTGTTGATAATTGGTCCAAAGCAAGATATCTTGCTCAGGCAGTCTGTAGTCACTGCCCAGTGTCATATGTTTTGATAATGTACTAATTTTAACTGCACACTATGTGCTACCCGGTTCCCTTATACACCATCCCACCCTGATCCACATGCTTGTTCGACAATGAGCTTTTTCTTCTCTGGCGCTTTGTCTGGCATTGTTTAAGCTCTATGCTTTCTACACCAACCCGTTTGTCTCTGCCAAGTTATTTCATATGCTGCTAGCCTGTCCTATTTATTCAACCCTGACAATCTGTTCACAACAGTTGCTTAATGAATTTTTTCTACCTGGAAAGTGCTCGATGCCCAAATTTGAATCCCATTCTTTGGCTCAACAACTCTATAGAGCCACACACAGAACAAATGCGGACACAGAAATTCACAGCACTCTTCGCAGATGTCTACATTCAAATTACATTTATTACCCTGAATCTCAATGGGGACCCGAGAATAACAACAGTGTGGTATCCTTATCAAATATGATTTATTGGCATGATTATTGCCCCTACAGTCTGTGTTGGCTGCATGTTAAAATAATATGCACTGCACACTTGATTTATTAAATGTCTGATAGTGGAGTTTGCAGGTAATTCATCATACTCAATCTCCAAAGACGTGCTGACACGTTTATACCTAAATATCAGGGTCATAGCTGCAAACCTGAAATGGGTAGAAAGGATTTGCAAATGCATTTGGCCCTGGAGGAGCACATACAAACCGCCTGCCCCTACAGAGAAAAGGAGATGGAGACAGACGGGCGGAAACAAGGAGGGTGAGGCTGGTTAACACTCGGCTGCACAGAGCTAAGGATTCTCCGAAAGAAGCAAATTTTAATTCAGCAGCTGTGGCCACTAATAAGAATCCGCTTATAAATAGAGACGTGTGCGAGATAAGGATGCGCCAGTAAGCCAGTGTGAGTGCTTCTCCCACGCCCTTACCTTTGGACTGAATGCTGTCGGTTAGAATTGAATCAGGTTCTTCGGAGCTCTTGACAAGATCTTTCATCTCTTCTAGACAAGAGTAGGGGAGAGAAATGAAAAGAATAGAGAGGCAAAGAGAGGAGAAGTATGAGAAGAGGCTATGATAACCAAGCAATCTGTTGCCCCTTATCCTGTGCAGAAAAGCATCCATTCCCCTGTAACAATCTCTCTGCCCTGCCAAGTGAATCAAGCTGACTGAGTTCATACATACATTGTAGCTAGAACTTTCTGACATCAGGACTTAACTGGATGTGAAAATCCCCAGTAACATATCGTAGTGTTATTTAAACCTCAACAAAAATCTAAATTACAGCACCGATTTCTGATGCAGGCTGGAGCTCCTGCTGAACTTAAATTGCATACAAGATGTAATAGGAATGCTAATATTCACTGTGATATTTTATGAATGCAGGCAGGTATGTTGACATAAATATCTACCCACGTGTAGCAGGGAAGCAAGAAATGGAGTAAGGGGTGTGGGCAGCAGACAGCAGGGAGGTTTCTGTTAAGTGGCAGGATGTCAGTGATGCGTCACAGCGCCCAGAGTGCGTAGTTCATGGGGAAAAACATGATCTTTACTCACCTCCATTGCTGGTGCCTGTGTTGTTGATCGCAGAGACATCTGTAATGTGAAGCACACGAAAGGTATAGACATGTTACTCATCTTTATGCATGCAGATGCAGTTAATAAGAGGGTTAGGAATTAGTAGAAGTAATCATTTGTGCATGATTATTCTGCTCAAAAAAGTAGATCATCTGCAAACCAGTCCAGGAACTTAAGAGCAACTTCACACTTGTGGCCTTACATTTACATTTGTCCTGATGTTTAAAAGTCTCTCATGCCTGGAAATTCAGTGCCTTCCTAAAGAGTTATACTTGAAAAAGTAACAAAACAAATGTGAAAAGGGAGAGAGATGCATGCAAAATTAATTACTGACTGCCATCCCTGTAAGGCAACCAGAGACCCTCCCCTCCTTACCCTCTCCCCCTCTATCCTCCCTGTTACATCTGTAGTCACAAAACTCCTTCTTCGTCACTCCCTTAGCAAACCTTGCCGTTTCCCCCTTTGCAACAACAATCATCCAAACAAAGCACACCATAAAAATAACCGCTCTCCCCAGGCAGACCGGCGGTGATGTAGACAAATACAAGTGCTGAGATAGAAGAGTGTGTAGAATCCAAAGTGGTTTCAGTGTTCTGTATGTTTACAGTAACAAGTCTGCCGTCAAGGTCATTTAATTCCCAGTTTAATAAAAACACGGGTTCCTTGGTTGTAATTGCAGGCTTGGCTACACGTGCCATGCTGAAGCAGGTAGACAGCTTGGGCACTATATACTACCTTTGCTTTGGATTTTGACCTGTAGGCTGCCAGCTATTAAGAACATGCATTACACTGTTTTTTTCAACATAAAAATGATTTAATCTGTTGCAACATTTTGGAATAAAATTTCTCCTCTCTGAGACACCACCGGGACTCGAGGACTGTTTGAAAGCAGGAAGGATGAAGCATTTTTTTAATTTTTTGATCTGAGGCATGGAACTGTCCAGGGGGTGAAATAACATTATGTTCTTTCACACAAAACTCTTTAAACGATAATTTTGGTTATTTACAACTTCAATTTTATATCCGTAGTTGCAGCAGATTTACCACCGGATTCAAACACTCTCTGTAATGGCATAAATTGAAACATGTACACACACATTGTAACAGGGGCTTGTGAGCCGTATGTCGTCAGTAGTGATGTAATAAATTATGCATACACATGAAAGATATGCCATGCATTAACACTTTTCCATACGATCACTTTACGGATATTAAAGCTGATGGCAGGACATGTGGAACGTGCCTGATGTTGTGACTCGTGTTGGAACAGAGCCTCCATCATGTCTGCCTTTTTATACGAGCTAGTGTAGCATGCCTGTGTGCAGCAGCAGGAGCTCACTGAAGCACTGGCCTCATTCCAGATGCTCTTTTCTTCTCTCTTAGGTAATGACAACACAGTCTGGGTGCTACCCGGGTAGCATCATCTTCCTCTAATATACAAGACTGATCAAGACAAAGCAAAAAAGCTCAGAATTTCAATTGATTGCAGCAGCAGTCTCCCCTGCCTGCCTGCCTGCCTGCAGCTCGGAGGGAACACCAACGCCGGTCTGTCTTGCTCTCTAATTCGACTCCTGTGTGCTGACAGTAGAGGGGCTATCATTTAGTGAGTGTGTGTGGTAAACACATAAACAAGATGGGGGGAGAGAGAAAAACGGGCCTCTGTCAAGGTTCTGGTGAAGGAGAGGCACAGTCCACAGAGGGCTGATAAGGAAAAGAGAAAAACAGTAGACCGAATTGACTTCCTGGGCAGGAAACTAGACAGCTTACACCAGTGGTTCTTTAAGCTGGGATCGGGGACCCTGAGGGGTGTGTCCCATCCTACAATTTGGTACATTAATTACAAGTATGCATGGTAGCAAAATTTGTATACTCTTGAGAAAAAAGGCATAAATTACTTTGGGGGTCTAAAACATAACAATTTTTGTATCTCCTGGCCTACGCAAAATATGCATTATATTTCTCCATGAAGATAGGCAACCTCAACAAAGGTGCCTGGTAATGAGGCATAAAAAGGTAATGTAATCTGCATTTTCTCATATATTAGAGCTGTAATCGGTTTATCTTTTTGTTTTTATGATGTAATAAAGGTTTTATGACTATGATTAGTTTAAAATTGAACACAGGTCATGTAGGAGATCAAAAACATTTAAAACATTTCCAAAACTTTAACTTTTCTTGTCACTTCAGCCTTTCAGAGGTTCAGAGAAAACCCCTCTGTAGCTCAAGAGGGAAGATGAGAATGTGCGTGTGCTCACATCTGCACACATAAGAAAAGGGAGAGGAAGGAAGAGAGTTGGGCATAAGTCACCCCCGTATGCAGACAAGCAGAAAATTACATCCCCCCACCTTGCATTCATTTATTAGACAAGAGGTAGTTAGCGTTTTGTTGGTCAGCATTAGTGTACTGCACCACAGTATTCAACCATGATAGGAATCTTGTGGAACTGGACATCAATGGCAAGTTAGGGTTTTAAAGCATCATATAACTAAATGAAATAGATATTTGATTAGCTGTAGCTTTTGTATGATACATTTTCTCATTATTTCGCACCATCCTCAAAGAGTGTTTGTCACGATCAGCTACAGTTCTGCTTCCACACCACTTTTAATGTTCTTGTCATTCTAGCTCAGTCAGCCCACAGGGGAGGCAGTCCCAGTGGGTCACCTACACGGCAGCGTTGGGAACCATCTCTGCCTAATGTTCCAGACAGGAGCCTTGGGCAGAACAGGAGGTTCTGTTCGTCCCTAAGCCACAGGAAATCTCGCTGTCTTTTATTCAACGCTCTTTTCTTGAGCAGTGAAAGAATACAAATCAATGGAGGTGTGGAAGTGTCTGTGCCCTACAGTGTTCAGTTCCCCAGGAGAATTTCTTCTATTCATTTGATCCCCAGACCGTGGCGTGGCGGACTGGTCTGCTGTGTCTGAACAGGTCCTGGAGCTTTGATCCCTGCCAGCTCACACAGGTGTCCAGCTGCTCCCACTCAAACAATGGACATGATGACCCATCACAATCTCAGTCTGGGAGCTACTGAAAACCATTGAGACCATTCTTTTACTTCCTGATAGTCGCTCAGTATGCCCAAATTAAACACACCACAATTGAAAACATTTACTGACTGAATCACTTTCACTGATTGCATAAAGTACGTCTATTTTGCTTGACTTGATCAAATATCTGGTAAAGGTCTTTGGTTTCTGCAGCTTTTATGAAGCAGGCGAGCAGGCGGAGGGCTGCTGCTTGCTCAATAGCATTTCATCTTGAGAGAGTAAGATAGGAAAATGTCAAGGTCAATACCAGTATCTATTCAGAAGCTCCCATTCCTTTCAGGAGATGAGAGCAGAATTAATTTCAGTATGTAAACTGGGTGGTCTATGAGGGGCTTGGGCCTGGTCTGCATTGGGCCATGTATATTAAACAAGTATCAAAGAACCCCTCATTGAACTTTGCATGGGCTAATAGCTTCGGGCCTGATATGTCTACTGCAAAGATAATTAAAGACATCTCCCTGCTCAAGCAAAACAAGAGTGGGTGGACCTCAACAAGTGCCCAACCAAAAGAACTAATGAGCTGGTAAATGTGGAAAGCAGCCCATTTTCATATGTTAATGTTAAGTTTGTAATGCAGGCTTGTAGAAATAGCTTAGCTGCATGAGCTGCCACTCTCAAAACAGGAGGAAAAAAGGGATTTTGTTAGGAAGGAAGGGTGGGGGGGTCAGCGTTTGATAGTCGGAGTTTTCTTTGCTATGAGATGGAACACTGTCTGACAATCTGAGCCAATTAAAGAGCGCTGAGCTGTGACCTGCAGGCTAGGGAGACGAAAACAAGCCTGCTCAATAAACACTGTGACCGCCCCTCTCTACTGCTATCCTCCCGAAAAGCCAAGAGTCTTCATTAATATTCCGCCTTTCTTCTCCCTAAGAAAAGGCCGTGGGGTTGTGGACACTAAGTAGCATTGTACTCCCCTGCGGGGGTTTGGGTAACCTTGCAGTGGTGGCCTTGGTGGGGCGGCTCCACGTTGGGTCAGGGTGCTCTCAACCGACTGAAAAGGCCCGAGCTCATTACACAGGCCTGGGCCATGCTTGACAAGATGAGAAAACACGGAGTGCTCTGAATGACTGAAAAGAGAACAGGACACCATCTGCTTTGGGGTTAAGCTACGACTCAGAGAAAGTGAAGATGATTAGAAGGCTGAGAGAGATGGCAAGAGAAAAGAGGAGGCACAGTTGACAACATATGTTGCAAAAACTGAAGGGAAAATGACCACTGGCAAAACCTTTGATAAGACACAGCAAGGATTGAAAGGAACAGGGAAGTCAGTAAAAATGTTGTCTCCACTGGCGATGTCTCTCACTCTTGATCTCTCTTTTTACCCTTTTTTTATTCCCCACTTTGTCCAAGGTAGTGTGAGACAGTCACATTGCTCTGTCAGAGGACAAAAGAACTGAGATATCCTGAGATGAAAGGAGTAAGTGAATAACTGATTAAGCGAAGAAGTGAGAGAGGGAGACAACACAAAAATAGACATGGAAGGGAAAAAATGCAAAAGAGGCCTCCCCCTGCGTGACCTACATACCTGCTAAACCTGCTGTCAGTGGTGGCCTGCTCCTCTCTCATCACTCGCTGAATTACTTTACATAATCTTTAGACTCTCCCTGCGCTGCTAGCGGGCTGGCTGCAGGGAGCTCACCTCTGTCTTCAATACCTATTGTGGTTCTCTCTATCAAGGCACAGACAGACAGTCTTGCAGGGGACAGGTAAATCTGACACAAGGTGACGTGGCTAACCCCTGCGATACATTAAAATGGGACATGCCACAGCTGAGGGAGGGCGCAGGAGCAGCATGTTTATAGAGGAAGGCTTGGATGTTTGCGTGTCACGGCTCAGGCCAGCTGACTGATTTGCAGTTATGAAGACATGCCTCCTCTGGTCAGCTCAAGGTTTTCCAAAGGAGATCATGGATCTGACTCGTCAATATAATCAAAGCACTTGTCTAGACTGCAGTGAAAACCAGGAGCCCT